CGGCACAATGAAAAATCACAATTAAAAACTGCATGTTTGTTCCCTTCTCGGTTTTACTGAAGTAGTAGTTTTATTTTTTTTAAGTAGTAAAGATAAACATATCATCATTGCTAAAAGCATGAAAACATCTTGCAACAATACTAGTAGATGATGCAAACCAGTTATTGGCTATATTTTCCACACTTTGCAACCTACCATTAATGTGATATACTGCCATTTATCCGACACCTCACCACAATTCCCACACTTCAGCTGCAAGCACAGGAGTCAGTGATTAGACTAAAGGACAGTTTTCAGTATAATTATCCATGTGTACATTATCAGTACTCATCACACTACGAATGATACTAAGTCTATATAGTAATATAAACAGTGAACTGCTTAAAGTATAAGTATTTCGTGTGAGCAAAATAACTGTTAGCACTGTCAGGCCACTGACAGCATGTCACACGAACACACTTTACCTTTAAATACCAGCGGAAATCATCCCCCACCGGCCTCACGTTTGTAACATTCTCCAAAGTGGCTTTAAACTGCAATCCAAATTTCTACAGATAAAAAGAAATAGTTAGTGAAGCGGCTATTCATAGATTTTTTTCCTCCCGAAGTATCCAATGCTTTTATAAACATACCCCCATCTTGAGCCACGCCCCTGCTGCTATACGTCTTCCAACTGCGTATAAAGAGCGCGACGGATGCCACGGATGCCACCTAGCGGACGTGCGGGGTATTACAAGCATGAAACGAGGTGAAGGAGTGGAACAAACAAACGAAAACTGTGTAGTTTTATTATTTTATTCCACCAAAACGTTATGGATAATTCGTCAACAAAACCAGATGTAAATAATTAATCCAGTGAAAAATTCGTAGAAAAATACGTGCCAGAGAGGCATGCGGGGGGAAAGTAAACACAGGCTTATTGAAGTAGGTTACTAAAATAAGCATAATTCAAGTAATAATTTTTCTGTTTGTTAACAGTACATGTGTTTGAGGTATTTAATGTATTCCCTGATTGTATCTGAGGATAGTAGTAATTGGGGATCATGTATAATTGGGGTAAAATACTCTGTATGCACACTGAGATGTTGTGGTCAAAAAGAAGCACCGTTACTTGTAAAACTGTAAATATGGTCAACAAAATGTGTCACGTCATATGTACAAAACACTACAATTGTAAGAACCACAGCAACATTGAGATTCAACTAGAAAGCTACAAAAAAAACAATATAAAATGCTAGTGTGCCATGTTGCCATCATTACAAAATCACACATAAAAGGGCCTCAAATATGAGGCACTAGGGGGGTTTTCTTTTTTCCCACCCAACCTGAGCTCGGACTTCAAGTATGTATGCAAATAGCACTGTAACCAAAGTTGTCTCTACTTCCAGTCGGAACAAAACTTTCCAAACTATTCATTTATTTTCGGAGTAGCTAAGAAAGCAGATAGACACGCTGACAAAAAAAA